ACCCAGCACCTGGATAAATATAAATATATATATATATATATATATATATATATATATATATATAAAATAACCCAATGGGCGGAACCCAGCATTTAGGTAAAAAATAAAAAATAACCCAGCATTTTTTAGACAACTCTGTGAATGTCCTTGAATGGCCTAGCCAGAGCTTGGGCTTAAACCCAATCAAATATTTCTGGAGAAACCTGAAAATCTGCGTCTGCCCCCATCCAACCTGACAGAGCTTGAGAGCTGAAGAGGCGAGGAGAAGAATGGCAGATAATTGCCAAATTCTGATGTGCAAAGCTTGTCGTATCATACCCAAAAATACTTGAGGCTGTAAAGGTGCTTCAGTTAAGTACCCATTTAAGGGTATGAATACTTATGAAATGTACTTATTTCAGTTTTCTTTTTTCTTTTTTATAAATTTTCAAAATTCTGACAGTTCTGTTTTTGCTTTGTCATTATGGTGTATGGAGTGTCGATTGATGTGTAAAAAATGTAATTTAATTTAAAGCAGTTTATCATAAGGCAGCAACATAACAAAATGTGGAAAAAAAATGAAGGGTTATGAATACTTTTGATAGGGACTATAACACTCACCTTCAGAAACACCCCACATGACAAAAGCAAAGAACATGATCATATTTGGACAGATGACTAGAGACATCTGAAGATGGAAAAATGAATCTAGAGAGAAAATACAAAATAATTACCTTTGAATGAAATGTGTAGTAATGTATAATTATCGAATTAATAATATTCTTAATCAGCTTCATTTCTACTGTTTAAATGTCAAGTAGATTTAAAAGCCCCCACATATTTTTAATACAGATTCCAAAAGATCTCAGACTCTCTTTCTACATTATTTTGATAATCTGACATATACGATCACACCGGTGTGATAAGAACATCCATTGTGTCACGGAAATTAATTAAGTTCTGACTGGCACTGAAACAGACACCCTCCATGCTTATCATGTTTGTGTGTGTTGACTTACCAAGTAGTCCCACTTCCAAATTTGTTTTAGTTGAAAACACACAATCTTGTTGACTGTAAACTTTACATGTATAATTTCCCTTATCTTCAGCTCTCAGATTGTCCAAACAGAGGGAGAAGTTTCCATGTTGAATCTGATCAGTTAGGAAATTAGCTCTATCATGATAATCCTGATTCTCTGCTGGACTCTCACTATCTTGATAAAGATGAACCAGAGTCTCTGACTCTGTTCTTCTCCATTCCACCTTTAGATCTTCTGATGGTAAGATTTTATTACAGTAACAGGGCAAAACCACTGAACCTCCCAGATGTACAACCTGTTGGTTTGGCATGCTCCTGACAGTGCTTCATAGCATGCTTTTGCGTTTTCATGTGGACAGAGATTTTTTTTTTTAAACGAAAGAAGGAAAATCTCCATTTATAAAAATACCCATGTACGTGTGGACTAGGCCTTAGTCTCTAGAGGGATTCTGTTGTTATTGATTCAATCTTTGTGGACGTCTTCCGGAAGTTAAGTTTGGGCCACAAAAGCACATGTGCAATAACGTTTGTTTATTTTGTTGCCGTTAAAACTGTCTATAAGACAACTCCTGTTTACTTTTTTTGCTGTTACCATGACAACACTGTTTGAGATATCCAACAACCGTTTGAAACTTAGGTTCCTCAGTGTTGTGGCAACGTGTTGACAAAGTTTAGTGTAAAACTTATGACAGCTTTTCGAGGAGAATATAGGATAAGTATTTTAAAGTTTGAAGCATTGACATTGCAACAGTATTTAAGATATTAAGAATCCCTTCTCAGTTTTTTGTTTTACACTTCCTGCTGTCAAAATAAGTATCACATAGATTAGACTCAAAATGACCTCATCTATGTGATTGGCCTCCTTCAATGAACAAACTACTGAAGTTCAAAATCAGCCAATGTATGATGAAGTTACAACACACATTGTGCATCTTCAATGTCTTGAGATCATATTGACTAAGTTTGGTGGTGATTGGATGAAAAACCTAGGACGAGTATATCAAAAATTCACAATGGTTTTACAGTGTAGTTTTAAAATCGATCTAATGTAATGATTAATGAAAAAGGCTATTTTTCATTGGTCAACGAATGATCCACATCACACAGGTTAATGTTTAAGAGTGTTATGCTGATTTCATTGCTGAGCCTTACAACTTCTCACAAAGGCAGGAAGAACATGATGCAGCACAAATAAGATATCGCATCAGTCAAATATTGAATTTAAAATACAATAAACAAATAAAAGAGAAACTATGTATGAAAGGCCAAACACCGAAAGCAATACAGTACAATGTGATTTTTCCTTTACATATGTACATCTATCTTTACAGTCAGAAAATGAGGGGAGAGGTTCACAGTCAGTTAGAAGAGAGCATTCGTCCATACATTGATCCGATTGACACTCTGCGGTCAGTTGGCATTCATAAGGACTTGGCGTTACCGACTATTGTAGTGATCGGAGACCAGAGTTCTGGAAAAAGCTCTGTGTTGGAAGCATTGTCTGGAGTTGCGTTACCAAGAGGGAGTGGTGAGGACTAATTTAACTCTTCTTTGCTATTGGATATTCATACACACTCAGTGACCATTTATACTTTATACACACCTCTCTGATATTTTTTCTATCGGTTTGTCTGAGATCAGTTGACAAAGCCCAGATTAAAAACAAGTAGGGCCCTGGGACTGTGTTTTCTATGACTACAACAGAATTAAAGCATAAATGCACTAACGCCAGATACGAGATAAAAGCAAACAAGTTTCCAGAAACAGCAACAACTTTTGCTTGAGGGCATTTGAAGAGAGGACAGAAACAAATAATAACAGATACTTGTGAATATACTGCAAATACATTTAAGGATATTAATATTCTGGTAACACTTTACATCAAGGTGTCATTTGTTAGCATTAGTTAAGATATTAACTAACACGAACAAACAATGAACAATGCTTTTATTACACTGTATTTATTAATCTTTGGTAAAGTTAGTTAATAAAAATAGTCGTTCATTGTTTGTTCACGTTAGTTCACAGTACATGAACTAATGTTAACAAACACAACTTGTGATTTTAATAATGCATTAGTAAATGCTGAAATTAACATGAACTAAGAATGAACAATACTTCTACAGCATTTATTAATCTTAGTTAAATGTTAACTAATGAACCTTTGTACTACAAGTGCTTAATTATTTAATTAATATTTTACTTAAATTAAAGTTTTATTAGAACTTTATTAGAACCATTAGAATTAAATTCTCCTCTGCAGTTTCCTTTGGATTCAAGAATTGCAGTAGATTTTCATAGAGTTAACTGTAGTATTGGTAAGATTGATTCAGGCAAAAGCCATGCTCCTCATTACCAAGGTTCTATGGTTTCTATACCAACAACAAAACTCATAATAGTAATAATAATAATAATAACAACAACAACAACACTCTAACATAATTTCTTGCTGGCCAAGGGGTGTTGTGACTCAGACAGACAGATAACTTGTCACATCATTTTCCACTTTTAGTTTTCTGTTGATTGCTAACTCAACTGTGTTTCTGTAGGAATTGTGACCAGATGTCCATTAGAGCTGAGGCTGAAGAAGGTTCCAAGAGTCAACTGGAAGGATGTTTTAACTTACGATAAGAAAACAGATGAATCAGTGAATCTTTTTGCAGGTTAGTAGTGCTGCTTTGCAGCGTTTTGTTTTCTTAACTGGAATGGTTTCTTTCAGCTGGATTGAAATGATCGCTTTTACAACTGGATTTAAACCATGTTTTGTTGCAGGTCCTATTAAACCCAGCAAACTGGTGAGTGGAAAGGTAGCACAGTCAGCTCCCAATGAGAAGAAAATTTAATTTGCAGATCCTTCATTAGTTGAAGAACATGTTGCAGCAGGTTAGTAAGACTGCTGGAAAACCATTTTCTTTTCAGTGTTACTGGTATATAATAAAAAGATCAAAATTTCAAAATGAAGTCACAATCAGTAACTGTGTATATATTTATGTTGTCTTATAAAATGCATTTGTCTTACAGTCTTGGATGCTGATTTGTCAATTCAGCATTCCAATTCACCATATCACTGTGCAGAACCCAGAGCATATCAGTTTTTTTTTTTTTTTGTATAGCTACATTCTGGTATATGAGGTACCTCTTGTACCTGTTGTTAGTATGTCGCTAAGCTAACAATGTATAAACAGTACACAATTATTGGGTAAAATAGTCAAACTATTGATGCTTTTGAAGTACTGAATGAAATATACATTCAGTTAAGGTACTTTCTCTATTGTTGCAATATTTGAATGTTCGTGTCCCTGAATAATATCTGCATGCACCCAAGTCTGAAGAGTACACATAATATCTAGTAGACAGCAATCTTTGTGAGTGAGAAGTCTGGTGTGGATGCTGGATCTGGAATCATCTGGATCTGTCCGTCCAGGTTATCTGTCTTCACGGACTGCCATGAAATACAATTCAAACAAACAACGTAGTGTGAGGCTCTTACATTCACAATGCTCATTTTGGCCTCAGTGGTGAAGTGTGCTCGAAAATCACCTTTAAAGTTGTCCAAATTAAGTTCTTAACTATTGATTAGTAATATGCATTGCTAAGTTTTTATATATTTATGGTAGGAAATTTACAAAATATCTTGTAATATCAAAACATGATCTTTACTTAATATCCTAATGATTTTTGGCATAAAATAAAAATTTATAATTTTGACCCATACAATGTATTGTTGGCTTTTGCTACAAATGTACCTGTGCTGCTTATGACTGCTTTTGTGCTCCAGGCTCACAAACGTCAATCATTTTGTGTTTCTGTGATTCAGAAAAATTGCCTGTCCTAACTCAGATGTGACAACACTGGCTCTTGTAAGAAAGTAAAGTGTGAAATCACCAAATCCTCACATTACTCTCTGTTTCTCTCTCGTCACAGAGTTCAGGAGAGACAGAAGGAGCTGTAACAGTAAAATACAGGCTGAAAGATCAACCAGTGACTAACCAGCTCCAGTTTACTCTTAAACCAGCGGAAGACACAGGGTAACAAACACACACATACACACACACAGAGACACACACACACACACACACACAGAGAGAGA